GAGGAGACGAGCCAGTCAAGGTGCAGTGTAGCAACGATGAAACATACAACTTTCCTCTAGTTCCTAAATGCCTCCCTGTTCCCCCCCGCCCCCTATTATCATGATCTCAATTCTACCTTACAAATCCGACTAGACCAGAGGATATACACTGGTACAGATAGCAACTGGAAACACAGGGAATCCAGGGCCGATGATGCCTTCAGGACCAGTAGCAATACCAGGAGGGTGGAGGGAGTGTGGGATGGAAAGGGGGAACTGATTACAAGGATCTACATATGACCTCCTCCCTGGGGGATGGGCAACAGAAAAGTGGGTGAAGGGAGACATCGGACAGTGTAAGATATAACAAAATAATAATTTATAAATTATCAAGGATTCATGAGGGAGGGGGAAGCAGGGAGGGAGGGGAGGAAATGAGGAGCTGATGCCAGGGGCTTAAATGGAGAGCAAATGTTTTGAGAATGATGAGGTCAATGAATGTACACATGTGCTTTATGCAATTGATGTATGCATGGATTGTGATAAGAGATGTATGGGCCCCTAATAAAATTATTTTAAAAAAATAAAAATGTTGCTTAAATTATTTCTCAAATTTCTGCCTCAAAAGTGGACCAGCGATATATATATAACTTTAAAAATGAGTGGATTTTGAGCTCACACTTAAATGTAAGCCCTGATCTAAGAACAATTAGTTCTTACAATGTAGCCCTGCTCAATACTTGTCCTCATGAAGTGATCACTGAAGATATGAGTGCTATCTAGGGTCTTAAAGGCTTATCTTAAAAACAAGTAGTCATCTAAGTGAGGTGTCAGCTAAGTCCGCATGGGAGGAGTACACCAGCTTGCATGATCCAAGGATTGTGAAAAATACAATCCAAGATCAGAGGACAGAATTATATTAGAGCTTAAATTCTGAACACCTGGGTTGGGTGACAATGAAAGACCGAAATTCATTTTCAGAGTCCCCAAGCAGATTAAGAGTCTCGTTTATAAAACCAAATTCACTGCCATTGAATCAAAAATGACTCATATAGTGAGCAACCCTATAGGACAGAGTAGAACTGCCCCTGTGATAGGTTAAAATTTAACCTGTCATTTGTTTTCCCTTTTGGCCCATTTTTAATTTGTTTCAGTTTCTATTATTTCTGCTTTCTCTTGGACTTAGATTATTCTGTGCTTTATTTTGTTGTTGTTTTGGGAGTTTAATATTATGCTTTTCCTTTTTTAATATATAATTCCTCTATTGTTCATTTTATTAGCTTCACTCCTTTTATTCCATTCACATTCTTTTACTTTTTTTCCAACTGTAAATTACATTGTAACAAACATTTTTCACATAATGAACTTCAACCATATTTCAAGATATTCTTAAGGGGGAAAATGAGCTTAGTTAGTCAAAGAACACAAATATTTTAAGGCCTTTCATCCAAACACTACAAGGCACAATGCTTCCAATAAGGAGAAGTTGCACCATAATTTCTGCTTTGCAATAAACTGAATTTAGAAAATAGTGCAACACTGTGTCTATGCATGCTTCGTCATTAGACAGGAACAGTCCAATAGCACTGCAGCACTTAGCAGACTCTTTTAAACCTTCTGTAGTCTACTATTCCACAAAGGTTAGGCAGGTAAAGAGAAAAGCTTTTTCATTCCTCCTGTCTCTTTCCACATCATCAGTTTCTTGGTGAGTGGTGCCAGATCAAATGTAGTAACAATATCAGAGTAAGCCCTCAATTGGGCTCTAATGGCATTGCTGCCCAACTCTTTGACACTGCCAACAATCAGCTTCTTCTTTCTCTTGGATTTTGTTTCTTTGACAGTAATATCAATAGGTTTCAAAGCAAATGCCTCTTCCTCATTTAGGACAAGTGTTTCATCAGCTAGAGTTGTCACTGGTTCAACAGGAGCCACTGAGTCAGGACTATCAGGCCCACGCATTAATACATTAACATCCTCATCCATGTTATCATGAGCAGGCTGCTCAGGGAACATCACCACCACCTCAGAGAAATCAGGGAAGTCGTAAAAAATCCCACCATCGTTGTTATTAATAAGTTTATTATCTAATATACTGCCATCATTTACTTCTCCAAAATTATCATCCTTATATACATATTGGTCTTCATATTCTGAATGGTTAATTTTTACATTCAGATTCATTCAGATTGCTGGTGGTTTGCTCGGGATGGAGCAAGAGGTTAGAAGCACTTATGCTTACTAACATGTCATCCTCAAAAGTACTGCCTTCTCTCATTATCTCCAGATCATCCATTCCAAAGTCGCCAAAATAATTTTCTTGTAGAATACTGAAGATCCCAACTTCTTTCCTATTAACCTATTCCACTCTACTCTGGTTCAGGCTGAATTGCTGCGCCACATCAATGTCATCTAAGTCAGAAAGTGACTGATCAAAGTTGTGAAATATAACTGCTTCCCAGTTTTCTTCAGACAGGTTAAAACCGCTTCCAGCATCTTTATTTTGATGAAGGTCTAATAAGGAGGTATTTGGCTTTCCGGTGATAGATTTCAAACTACTCCCAGTAAGAGATGCCCTGATGTTTGAAGCACCATCTTCAACTTGGATGAGATGCTCTCTAAATTACACTCAAATATATAGGTTTGGACCAACTTCTTATCCCAATGGGCCACTGTCCTAAGTTTGGCTAGAGACTTTCTTTTACTGAGGAAAAAATGTGTATAAAACATTGTTCTGGTTGACTATCAGATGGAAGAGAGCAAGGCCAAGTTGGTTGGCAAGGTGGGGGTGGGGGGGGTAGGGTCAGGAGAGGGGTTAGGGAAAGGGAGGCCCAAGTGCTGTATAGCTTCAGAGCAACTCCCATTGCC